CTATCTATCATCTATCTATCTATCATCTATCCATCATCTATCTATCTTTGTCTATCTGTCCATCTATACTATCTATCATCTAACTATCATCTGTCTATCTACTATCTATCTATCTATCTATCTATCTATCTATCTATCTATCTATCTATCCATCCACCCACCCACCCACCCACCCATCCATCCATCCATCCATCCATCCATCCATCCATCCATCCATCCATCTATCTATCTATCTCTCCATCTATCCACTAATACATAGTACTAGTATATAATGGTATAAGATAGGGGTGTCAAACTGGTGGCCCATGGGCCGGATGCAACATGTGCAGGTCATGCCCACCTCAGTTCCACCAATGGGGAAAACATCACAAAACGTCACATGGCAGCAATGTGACATAGCAAGTTTGACACTCGTGATATAGAATCTCCTGCTTGAGCAAGGGGCTGGACTAGAAGACCTCCAAGATCCCTTCCAGCTCTTTCTGATGAAAGCATAATATCAATTTCAGCTTATGAATTCCTCCTTCTCCTAATTCTCAGCAGAGAAAAGGCACAATTATAATATGTGAAATGTGTGCATTAAAGTCCTGCGGCTAATTCCAAAAACCATGATTAAAACAAGCCATGACTTAATATGCAGTATGGTATTTGAGTCCATCAAAATTACAGAATCAATTTTTTTGTACACTCTATGGGAAAGTGGGATTTAGACTCCATTACAACAAAATCACTTTTTGTTTTTCAGGTTAACTGGTGGAAATCTTAGAAGCCCGGGATTTGAAAATCTCCTTCGAGTTTTGCCAAACTGTCACCAGCTGGAAGAAATAAAGTAATTGTAAACCTTGTCATTTAGGGGAAAGTGTGAATCAGTGGCATGCCTGATCATGAATCAGAGATCTTAATATTTTAATCAGTTGCTATATTTCAGTTTGCAGGGCAACAGGTTGAAAGAACAGGACATGATCAAGTTGGCAAAAATACTTCCTGCCATGGAAAAGTTAAAGACAATGGAGTAAGTACAGTATAAAACAATGTTTCTCAAGCTTGGCCATTTTAAGAGATGTGGACTTCAATTCCCAGAATTCCCCAGCCAGCCAGGCCACAAAAGTAGCTTCAAATAACTGTCATGTCTCTGACAGAATACATTTTATATCTATATCCTCTTCTGAATCTATTAATATAACAACTCATGTCTCATGTTTGACCTGCCATTCTGAGAAATCACTACCTTTTAAGTCAAAGCATTGCCTTGTGACAATCAACTTTATCACTATACATATATAGTACGCACAATATAAATATTTTTCCTGAAGAATATTTATACAAGTGGCCATCCCCATATTTTACTTATTAAATTTATATCCCACCTTTGTAGAAAAGTTCAAGGTGGTATACAGTACATGGTTGTCTCTCTTCTTATTTTTCCTCACAACTATGCTGTGAGGTATGTTGAATTGAGAAGGAAAAGCTGTACTTGTTCTCTTCGATCTTAGTCCAATTTCTTAACAACTGCACTGAATTGGTTCCCCTGGAATATTTGTGCAGTGTTTTGCAGAGTGAACTGTGCCTATTACAGTTTATTCACATTTCATTCCATGTGCCATTAGAAGCCATTAGGTTTCTATGCTTAGGTTTCAGGTTAACTGTGGTTAGCTGAGTAGGTAGCTCATTCTGCCATAGATCATAAAGTCATACAGCTGGAAGGGATCTCTGAGGTTATCTAGTCCAACCCCCTACTCAAGGCAGGAGATCTTCTAAACATCAGCAATGGTTTATAAAAAGACAGGGGTCATCTGTCAGCTAAAACAACTACCACACTGTGGTTTAATGAAATGCATGAACACAATCTCAAAACATAGTTCAGCAAACTGTGGCTTGACGCCATACAAAACGATATTTTGTATTTAAGATTTAAGTCTTAATTCATAAAATAGAAAAAACTGGGATGTGCATTTCTGGTCCTCTGAAGTAAGTCCTTCTGAAATTTTGCCATTTTCATTTAATACAAAAATGCATTTGATTGCAAGAGCTGTGGTGGCACCGTGGTTAGAATGCAGTATTGCAGGCTACTTCTGCTGACTGCTCACAGCTGGCAGTTCGATTCTCATGGGCTCAAGGTTGACTCAGCTTTCCATCCTTTTCGAGGTTGGTAAAATGAGGACCCAGATTGTTGGGGGGCAACAGGCTGACTCTAAACCACTTAGAGAGGGCTGGAAAGCGCTGTGAAGCGGTATATAAGTCTAAATGCTATTGCTTGCTACCTTCCTTCCTACCTACCTATCTTCCTACCTTCCTGTTAGAATGCAGTATTGCAGGCTGACTCTGCCCACAGCCAGGAGTTCAATCCTGATTGGCTCAAGGTTGACTCAGCTTCCCATCCTTCCGAGGTGGGGACCTAGATTGTTGGGGGCAATAGGCTGGCTCTGTAAACTGCTTAGAGAGGCATTTAAAGTGGTATATAAGTCTAAGTGCTATTGCTATTTGATTCCTAATATGGATAGTCCTTGACTTACAACCATTTGTTTAGCAACTGCTTAGAGTTGTAACAGCACGGAAAGAAGTGAGTTATGACAAGTCCCTGTGCTTACGCCTATCACAGCATCCCGATGGTCATGTGATCAAAATTCAGTCGCTGGGCAACCAACATGTATTTACAATGGTTATCATGTCCCAGATTCACATGATCACTGTTTGGGATCTTCCAGATGGCTACTGACAAGCAAAGTGAATGGAAGAAGCCAGATTCACTGAACAACCGCACAATTCACTTAACAACTGCAGTGATCTGCTTAACAACTGTGGGAAAAAACATAGAATTGGGCATGACTCACTTAGCAACCATCATGCTTAGCAATGGAAAATCTGGTTCCACTTGTGATTGTAAGTCGAGGACCACCTGTAAGTCCAATTGACTTTTTGCAATGTAAAGTAATTGCAATGTAATTTTGCAAGCCGTGAGCTCAGAGACACAACTGGTTGGCCTTGAGCCAGTGATTCTTTCTCAGCCCTAGGAAGAACCTCAAAAAACATTATCCAGAAAGTTGCATGGGCTAGTGGATGTAGCTGCCAAGACAAGAGAGATTCCCCACCTCCCCAAACAGCAACAAACTCAAAGACACACAACCCCACACATTGCAGTTGTTCATCTGACTTGAGATAAAAGTTACTCATTTCCCCAGAACTCCCCAGCCAGCCATGCTGGAAGTTGAAGTGCACATGTCATAAAGTTGCCAAAGTTGAATACCCCTGCACTAAGCCATCAATTAATATTAATGTGGCATTTATTGTTATAACTGTTTTCTAACAACCTCTCTTTCTTGTGATGTGATTTGGTTTTCTGCAGTTTAAGCAACAACCATCTCTCGCTTAAGAGCATTTTTTATCTCCTGGAGTCGGTGAATCTTTGCCCAAATGTTGCGAAGCTGGAAGCCAGGTATGCCTGGGGCTAATCAAGAAAAGCACAATTCAATTTTTAAGAGAAATGGCTGTTGTTATAATTCTGGGCTGAAGGTTGAGCAGCAGAAACATTTTACCTTTATTATATGTGCCCACTTTTGATTGGTTGAATGTTTTCTGGAAAACTTTGAGTTGCATGTTTGCACTTATGCAGAATCAGTTTATTTCTAAAACAGATGCAGGTACTCCTTGACTTACGACTACGATTGAACCAATTTTCATTGTTAAACAAGATGGCTGTTAAGTGAATGGCACCCAATTTTGCAACCTTTTTGCCATGATTGTTAAGTGAATCACTGCAATTTTTAAGTGAATCATGCAGTCATTAAGTGAATCAAGTTAAGTGAATCATGCAGTCATTAAATCCAGCTTCTCCCATTGACTGCCTGTTGGAAGCTCACTGAGAAGGTCACAAATAATGATACATGATCCCAGAACAATGCAACTGTCAGTTGCCATGCACTCAAATTTTGACCACATGATTGTAAGGGTGCTATGACGGTCGTGTGCAAGGCCTGCTTGTAATTCACTAGTTTGAGTGCCATTGTAACTTTGAATGGTCCTTAAACAAATGGTTGTAAGTAGAGGACTACCTCTGTAGAATAACCTGCTTCAAAGGGAATAAAATGTAGATGAGCACTGGGCTTCTGGAACTTCTCACCACGAGAAATGGAGGTGTGTTTATGTATAATCTCTTAGGCTTTTTCCTGCAGACCTTTGGTCAACTTTACCATCAAGGCATGATCTTGCAGAACTCTTTCTCTTCTCTCTAGTGTTGATCAACAAATTGCAGTTTTGACCTTTGTGAATAAAGGAGGCCCTGATGCCACTCAGTCAAGGTATGTGTCACTCCTTCAAGGAAGACTAGATGTTGGAGAAGAGCAGGCAAAGTCGAGCGAGTTATCAGCCTAGAGTAATAATGATGCTAGAAATGGCCTAACTCCTTTTGAATCCCATTGACTCTTATCTAGCGCCTCATTCAGCTGACCCTTAGTTGACTAGATTTTTGTGAGTAGGCAAAAATGTGGTTTGTGATTCATCTTAACTGGAACTTAATGTATGGCCCTGATTCTTCGTGCCTGACACCAGGCTAGGAAATCAATAACATGTGTAGACTATATTTATGGAAAACCTGTAGTGACAGAATTTTACAAGTCTCAACGTGCTTCCCCCTCTCTCAAATTATCTTCATGTGAACTAGGGAATGGCTTATCTGAGATGTTTCCTCAAGTTTCTTTCTTGGCCAGCCTCCTTTGATGCCACCATTGCCTTGGTGGTGGGTCTTCCTGTTGACCTTCAAGGCCATTCTCTCTGTCCTCTACTGTATAGAAGATTTCTAGCCACATTCGACCAATCGCATTGCTGAATATCTGGTGCTGGTTCCTTCTACCATTGTATAATGTTTTGTCATTTGCCTTTTCCACAGGAATTACAATTTTCATGATGTCCAGTTACACAAATGTCAACAGATGGAGGTGACATCAAAGAAAATATGGTACAGTCATTTTGTTCATACCTGCTTAGCTTGATCCTCTAAATGCTTGCAGGAAAAAAACCATTACATCTGTCACTGTCTCTGAGAAAGACATCAAGAGTCTAAAAAATTTCTGAACCAGGTTTAGGGTTTATTATGTTGTGTGAACCTAGCTTAAGAAGATTTAGACTTTACCTGACTTAATCAACACTTGAATGGTGATTTTTGAATGGCCTTCTTTATTAGCTTGGCAGGTAATCGTTTTCAAGATGAAGATCTCAAGAACTTGTGCTTAGTGCTGAGAAAGTGTAGCAACATATTAGAATTAGAGTAAGTATTCATTCTTGTCAATTAATGTGAATGTCCTGAACTTGGGAATACTTTGAAATTTTGGATGTCTGCATCAATATGTTTATGTTAGTGTTCCAGATGCTTCTATTTTGGAGAAGATACGTTAGGATGCAGTTGAATATTTTGAAATCTTCCACCAGGTCCTGTGTCCAAACCAATAAAATTAAAATATTGCCTCAATTAAATTCACAGTCTAAAGTAAAATATGCAATAACAGAAGATAAATATGCACATTGGATTAGTAATCTCTTCTTTGCATTCTTTTCTTTGTCCTATCATCAGTTTGTCAAATAATTCTTTTGGTGACTCAGAAGTTCTGAAGATAATGGATTCCATCAAAGTTTTGAAGAATTTGAATTATTTAATGTAAGTAAAGGTTTCTCTTTCATTAATGATATCTGTAGAACTAAGTATCCTCAGACAGATCTTAAATAATCCTGACTTGGTCCTCATTGTAGACATTATCTGGACTATACCACTTTTTATGGCAGTTGGGAACTATTTTTTTATTGTTATTTTTATATTGTTTTGGATTAATAATTTTGAAAGTTGGAAACTTGAAGATGTGTGGACTTCAGCATGCTGGCTGGGGAATAATGGGAGTTGAAGTCCACAGATGTTCAGGTTCCATGCTTTCAAAACCATTATTTTATATGCTCCCTATGTGTGTGTGTGAGAGAGAGAGAGAGGGAGGGAGGGAGGGAGAGGGAGAGGGAGGGAGAGAGAGAACTGAAAGTGAATAGCATTACCACCTTAAAAATATCAGCCTATTTTATTAATTAATTATTAAATAATTATTTTTTTACCCTCACATACTAACACCAAGTAGCTAGGACAAGGTGCTTATAGAGCTTTGAATACCACGAAAGGAATTCTCTGTGGTCAGATTCACTTCTGTATACATTGTAATCATATATGTGTTCCTGACAATGACCATTTCTGTTCTTTCCTTCCAGCCTGGATAAAAACCAAATGTCACCGGACGGTGTCATTTCCTTGCTGGAATTCTTCTCCCGTTTAGAACGTATCACTTCAGTGCATTTAGGGTATGTCAAAAAAAAAACACCTATTCTTCACCATTGACCTTCTCAATCCAACATGTCAGTAGCTTTTGGTCCAGTCTGTCCTACTACATCTTTATCAACAGAAGTCTATCAGCTGTGGTGGGCTACAAAAGTCTATCTCCGGGAGCAAATCTCTTGAATGGTTGGGACTGGAGGAAGTTTGTTCTAATACAACTGGGTGGTTCGGGTTTGAGGGTTTCTTGTTTGTTTGTGTGCCTGTTTTGTGCCGTCAGTGTCAACTCGTAAAGCATTCCTATGCTTGTTTTCGAGTTGCCATAAGCAGGGGGGGGGGGAAGCCCGAAGGAGCAGTACGGAAATTAAAACCAGAAGTACATTCCACACTTAACTTACAAAGATTGTAGCTAGGCTACCGGATCTTCTGCCCATGAAAATCCTTCACTGGAGAATTTGATGGATGACACCCAGCCTGTGAAAGTGCTTTGTGGGAGAATCCGATTTAGGACACACCCAGGGGGAAGGGGGGAAACAGGGTCACAGGTGACTGTAAATCATGTGTGTCAGAGTTGGCTTCATGTGGGTCAATGCAGACATGTTGCTCCTAATAAATCTTTTGGATTCTTTTGAAGCTTGGCTCAAGGCTCATAATTTAATTAGGGCAATCCCCGGAACCCTGACATTCAGGTCAGTCTAGACCAGGCCTGTTAAACTGGTGGCCCGTGGGCCAGATGTGTCACATGCAGGCCCACCCCGGCTCTGTAAAGACAAAAAACATTGTGATATGTTGATATACGTCACATGACACAATCGAGTTTGACACCCATTGTCTACAGTAGATAATAGCTTGGAGTAGACCTTGCAGTTGGTTTTTTTGACAACCTTTTTTGTACTTGCCTTCTTCCTAGGGTTGACTTAGATTGATCTTAACTTTCTCAGTTGACTTTTGAGCTTAACCCAGGATTCACCATCTCCCAGTTTCTACTACAGAGCCTTTAATCACAATAGCAATGTTTCTCAACCTTAGGAATATTAAGAAGTTATGGACTTCAACTCCCAGAATTCTGATTGGGGAATTCTGGGACTTGAACTCCATACATTTTTAACATTGTCAGAGAAACATTGCACCATAGCAATATTTCAGCAATATTTCTCCATATTTATAGCTCTTCCTGCATTTTACAGTTCAAGACTGGCCAAAAAGAGCAGGAATGATATTTATGTAAATTAATTGGCTGGGATTGGATTCTTTTTCAAGGGTTGTCCATAGCAAAGACAGCATCTACCTTAAACTCATACCTCTGGAGATGGGCTCAGAGTGAAGGTATCACATCAAGTTGCTGCACAATTGAAAAATCCTGGTTGAGGAGTCAAATTCATCTCACTTGAGTACCTGGGATGTTACATTCATTTAGGAATCACTTTACTCATAGCATTTCTGCATTCTTTTATAGTTTGGGAAACATCCAGAGATGTCGTTTAAGCTTTGGAGAACAAATCAGGTGAGGATTGTTTTCATTTTGATGCATCTTTCTTTTCAAGGTAGAATTGATCTTGATTATAGGTTGGGATGTAGGTTCAATTTTGCATTCAGGTTTTGGGGGCCAGTTTCAAAATGTGCCCCATTTATGATCCAGTATTTCAATGAAAAATCAGTGGACCTTCACTAGGCTGCACCAAGGAACTGTGTTACTTTCTAAACTATTACTGTGAGTGACAAGCATCTCATTTTTTTCCAACCGTGTTTAAAAAAAACCTTCGTATTTCTATCAGCACCAGGTGTTTTTTTTTTTGAAGTACAGGTAGTCCACGGCTTACAACAGTTCATTTACTGACCATTCAGAGTGACAACCGGCAGTGGGATCCTACCTATTCCACCACCGTTTTGGTGACCGTGCGTGTGTGTGTGTATAGGAGGAGAGCTCTTTTGATCCATGGTAGCAACTAATGCGCACGCACCTAATGCGCGCGTGTAGCTTTCCCCACACTAGCTGAGGCCTGCAGGGCCAAGCAGCTGAGAGGAGAAAGGAGAGAAAAGTGTGGGAGGGCAGATCCTGTGCTTTTCTCTTCTTTCTCAGATGACATTTTTCCTCCTCTCACCTGATCTTTGGAGGCTTTTATTCTCTACTGTTCTGTCTCACCTGTATTCACAGGTGAGAATCCAAAGTTCCAAAGTTCAAATAGTCAAGCAAACAAAACCAGACCCAAAAGAGTTAACTGCTTCTGTTTTCACAGTCCTTGGCAGTCTTCCTGGAATCTGTCTGGCAAGTCTGAACTGCCCATAAATCACGACGCTGCAGCCAAAAGAATCATACGCAATTCTTTCACACCAAAATACACTTTGCTCCAAGCAAAGATTGAGAGCCAGCACGCCTCCTTAAATCCCCTGGAGGGGCGTGTCAGTCTCTCTAATTAATCCCTGGCTTGACCTCTCCTTTCAGATTGTGATTGACGTTTCAATCTTCTTCTAGCCCTAGCATCAAGCCAACATCCATCCGTGTCGTCATCGCTCGAAACCTCTGGCACGTTCTCCTGATTATCTGTTAACAGCTGAGGTGTAATCAGGGGGGAAGATTCAGGGGAGGGAGAGGACTCCGAAACCTCCAGTAAAGCAGGCTCATCTCTCAGAGCCAACTCCTCCCCCTCTTCCTGACTCCACTCTAAGTCACTTAATAATGCAGGCTCGAATCTCAATGCCAGATCTTCTTCATCACTCGAGCCTACATCTGCTGGCTGACCAGGTTCAAGTCTCGGAGTCACAACACTTTACTATCGGTTCGGCTAAACCAGTCTGAACTGGTAGCATACCACCAATGAATACAACAACACTGAAGAAAGTGACTTGTAACCATTTCTCACACTTACGTCCATTGCAGCATCCCCATGGTCATGTGATCAAAATTCAGGTGCTTGGCAACTGACTCGTATTTATGATGGTTGCAGCATCCTGGGGTCATGGAATGCCCTTTTGCAACCTTCTGACAAGCAAAGTCAATGGGGAAGCCAGGCTCACTTAACAACCATGATTCTAACTTAGCAACTGCAGTGATTCACTTAACAACCGTAGCAAGAAAGGTAATAAAATGGTGTAAAAAAATCACTTAATAAATGTTTTACTTAGCAGCGTTAATTTTGGGCTCCATTGTGGTTGTAACTTGAGGACTACTATAACTTTTTTAAAACTCATTTTTTGTCATTCTTGGAAGTACTAGTATTGTTCCCTTAGCAGCTACATAAAACTTAAAAATAAATGGATTTCCACTACGGATGTTTTTTTTTCAGGGAAGGGATTGGTTTCAAGTTCCTGAAAATTGTTCCATCTCACCTCTGTTTCACTATGAATTTGCTAGAAACAATAGACCAATATACAAGGATTCCAAGAGAAATATGTTCGCCAAATTTGAATATTATAGGAGAAGAGTTCTTCTGGTCCATGGTAACTTAAAATCAGATAGAATCTGGTAGCATCTTTTCTGACTAATACATTTCATTAAATGGCATCCATTTTGGGGACCTGGAGCTTACAATAAATAAAATGTTACTTGGAAAAGATGCTGTCAGATTTCTTCTGATCTTGGTATAAAGATGCTTGTTAGTCAACTATTTGCAGTATCCCTGTTATGTCTCACCTTCACAAGATAGATGAGAAGTCCAAACTCGGACCAAATACAAGCAGGCAAGAAGATTCAGTATTTACTGAGTTAATTCCTTTGAGCTGGCTATGTTCTTGGCAGTATCACACACGCTGCCTGCCAAGACCGACAAGATAACAGAAACATTAATCACTAGGCTTTCAAGAAACAGGATACACCGAAGCTCCACAGAAAAATTCACACTTTGTCCCGTGCGGAGTTCCCAGAGCAAACACACCCACTTTTATTCCCTGTGGGGTGTTGTCACTAACTCAGCTCAGTCTCTGATTCGTCCACGTCTCCTGCGTTGCAGCTCACACTTTTTCCTGCGACGCTGCCTAGCATCAAGCCAGCATTCGTCTGCTTGATTCTCTGTCAAAGGCTGCTCCACTATGCCCTCCTCCTCCTCCTGATTAGCCTCAGGTTGTCCCTCTCGGTTATCTGCCGAAACCTGAGGCATAATCAAGGAGGAAGGCATTGCGGAAGAGGAAGGTCCTGGGGAGGAAGGCATTCCCAATTCCTCCTCCTCATCATCTTCCGAGTCCTCTTCCTCTAAGAATGCAGACTCAGGACTCGGAGCCACAACCATCACTCAACACTGAAGATCCACATGTTTTGCCTGCAGAAGTTTATCAGTTCAATAACTAGCATCTCCAACTAAAAAGATTAGTTAACAGGAGATCAGAAGGCACCAATAAAGGAGGATAGCTGTAGCTCAGGGTTGAAATGGGGGGCCCTTGATGCTCTCTGCGCTTCATCGTTTACTTGCAGATGTTTCATTACCCAAGCTAGGTAACGTCATCAGTGCTAGACAAGATGGGAAGGAGCTTTTCATTTCAGAAATTAAGCAGCCAGATGTGTTAGCACCATCTTGATAAACACTTTTGCACTAGGAGAATACAGAACTCAACCAAGTCCTTGGCTCAAATAACCTAGTTTGTTTTTTGTCCTCCAAAGGTATAGCCCAGCCAGCGAGCATGCCAGGAAGCATGCTTTTAGTAAGTTGTATTTTCATCTTTTTGGTGGCTCATAGCTCCAAAGCAGTGGTGCTCCCTCTGCCACTCTCTATGGGGACAAAATAGCCTGCCAATGTTCCCAAGTACTGGCAATAACAGACCTAATACCTAGGAGTACGGTGGCTTGCGTTGTTAGGATGCTGGATTGCAAGTTAGCAAGCCCGTGTTTGAGACCCGAAAGCTGCCCTGGAGTGAGATGAGTTTCCGTCCTTTGCTCCAGCTCCTGTCAGGGACATGAAAGGCATCCCCAACTGGGCATCCCTCAGGCAACAATGATGTCACAATCCTTTCAACCCGGAAGGACTTCAGTGCTTCTGACATGAGTGCCATGTGAACAATTCTAGTATCTTTTGAAACTATTTACAGAACTCTCTGCAACGAGTTGCAAATAATAATAATAATCATTTTTCCTCGTTTTGGGCTAGCTGTTAGCATATTGTTATAGAATCTGTAGGGCAAAAAACCATTGGGGGGGGGGGACATCAGAAAAGGGAGGGGTTATCATCCTATTCTGGATTTAAATCTTTGCAATGCAGAAAATGATCTTCTCTTTCAGCCTGGAGGGTTGCACAATCGGGCTCTACATGACTCGCCGCCTCCTTACGATTCTCACCAAATGTTCTGGATTGGCAGAAATCAAGTAAGTTTTGTGATGGATGTTGTGCGCATCTTTACCCAACATTTAAATCAGAACGGAACTGAGTTTGCATGAACAAAGTATAGGTTGTCCTCTACTTACGGACAAAATTGAGCTCAGTGGTGGGATTCGAAACTTTTTACTACCGGTTCTGTGGGCGTGGCTTGGTGGGTGGGGCAGGGGAAGGTTACTGCAAAATCCCCCTTCCCTCCCCACCCCGCTAACCTGCTTTCCAGCTCCGTTCTCTTGTGCAGGGCAACCAAAGAAGACCCAGCCGACCAGCTGGGACTCGATGGGAGGCAGAGAAGAGATGGGGTTGGTGGGGCCAGTCAGGGGTGGGATTTGCTGGTTCTCCGAAGGACTTAAAAGTTCCGCTACTGGTTGTCCAGAATCGGTCAGAACCTGCTGATTTCCACCTCTGATTGAGCCCAACATTTACGTTAAGTGAATTTTGCTCCATTTTACAACTTTTCTTGCCACAGTTGTTAAGTGGTTAAGTTAAACTTTTCTCCAAAGGAACCAATAACACGTTTTGAATCTGAAAGCTATTAGTCGCCCCATTTAAAATTATTTTCAGGCAAAAACCAGGCACAAATCTATAAAACAGTTTCCACCTGAAAGGCTGCATTATGGGTTGAAAATAGCTGCAAACTTACTGGAGCTCCAAATGGCCACATGGTGATGAATATCAGTTTCAAAGCTTCCGTTAAAGTTGGAAGAACCTGTTTCAATCCCCCCTTGAAAGTCTGAGAATGTGAAACCTCTTCTACCCTCTTTGTAAATGTGTCTAAAACCGGCCCAAATCTTCAGATATTTTTTTTTGGGGGGGGGGAGAGGGTTTATGCAGATTTTGGAGAAGGCTGTGATAAAAGTTGTTTTTTTTCTGCTGAGGCAGACCACTTGAGATAAAGATGGACAAGAAATACAGATTATTCTGCCAAGAGGAATTTTAACTCAGCAGGCGGCCTATTAGTTCCAGCATAACTACAGAATTGGAGCAAATTGAAATTCAGAAGTGCAGGAGAGGCAGGCTATTTGCACATTTTAATGTGTCACCAACAGCTGCAAATGAAGGCTGAGTTTCTCCATGCAGAATGGGCCCTGCAAAAAATCATACTGTAGCTGATTTTTTTTTTCTTGTACTAGCCATACTATACAGTAGTCCTTGACTTACAATTAGCCATTTAATGACTTTTGGCAGTTACAATGGCACTGAAAAATATTGACTTATGACAGGTCCTCGCACTTACGACTGTTGCAGCATCCCCCAGGATCATCATGGGGTCAAAATTTGGGTGCTTGACAATGAGCATGTATCAGTTGCAATGTGCTGTAATGGTGTGATCACCATTTCCGACTTTCCCATCCAACTTCTAACAAGCAAAGTCTGTGGTGGAACCCAGATTTGCTTAAGAATTGTGCGATTCACTTAGCAGCTGGAGTGATTTGCTTAACAACCGTGGCAAAAAGGTTGTAAAATCAGGACCAATTCACTTAATAAGTACCTGGCTTAACAACATAAATTCTGGTCCCCCTTGTGATTGGAAGCTGATGAATACTTTAACACCATACATGGACCTGTTAATTTCTAATATCTCAGGACATTCAGATTTATTCTGTCTTTAATATCTGAAGTCAGAAAAAGATCTAATCTTGCTGAATGGTTCTAAATATTGTTACATTGCCTGTAGAATCCATGTTGAGATGATTGCTCAGTATTGTTAGTTTTGACATCTTTATCCAACTTTATTTAACTGCAGTAACCAAGAAGCTGACAAAAATTTCTAAATTTTTACATACCAGCTTTGAAAATTCCCCCATAATAAATTTCAGTTGAACACTTTACAGGTAGTCCTCCACTTACAGCAGTTCATTGAGTGATTGTTCCAAGTTACAACGGCACCGAAAAATGTGACCATTGCAGCCCTCCCCATGGTCATGTGATCATAATTCAGAGGCTTGGCAACTGACTCACATTTATGACGGTTGCAGTGACACGGGGTCATGTGATCTCCTTTTGCAACCTTCAATGGGGAAGCCAGATTCACTTAACAGCCATGTTATTCACTTAACAAATGCAGTGATTCACTTAACAACGGTGGCTAGAAAGGTCATAAAACGGGGCAAAATTCAATTAACAAATGTCTCACTTAACAACATAAATTTGGGGCTCAATTGTGGGCAGAAGTCAAGGACTACCTGCAATTGAGTCTATTGGATCACCCATGCGTGGGAGGGGCTCTATCTACAATAGCTTGGATGGGTTATTTTACGCTTGTTGCTGTAAATGTCTTTAGATAATGAACAATGTTGGATACTGTACTCTGTGAAGACAGAAAAGTTATAAAATGTAACTCAGAAGCAGAACACAAGTATTTTTGATTAATATTTTCCAGTTGGCATTTGATAGAAAATGGAGTAAGGATTGAATGGCTCATGAGATGGATCTGGTCCAAGGTAGCTTCCCTGAAAGTTTAATCTTGATGATGGCATTTAGTAGGAGCATTTGTTCTGCCTAGATTCAATATTTTTTTCATGCTTGACGCTTAAGATTAACCACTGCTGCTGCCAAATCTTTTCTCTAAATGCCAGCAACTCAGTTTGAAAAAAAGCTTAGCTCACTGGGCCACATCTACAGGATCTGTGCTGAGTTTGACCAGTCATGGAAGTGATGTTCTTGAAGTAATCTTGATGTGATGTTCCTCAAAATCACACCAAAAGCCTGATACTCTTGCTAGAGACCATTTCAAACAGCTCTTTGGACCTTCAAACGTATTTCTCCTCTATAAATGCAGTAGTCATGGTAGACTTTTGTCGTGTCCGTCGAGAAAGGAAGCTCGGAGTCAGTGACTTGGTTTCAGCTCTTTATTGGCTCCTGATACAGCTTAAGCTTGAAGGGGAAAACTGCGGCTTTTTATTCCCGAGCCGCGGCGGCCGCGGCCAATGACACCGCTTCGAATCTCCCGCGATTAGTTTCCACCAATCGCGGGGGATTCGCAACGGACCAATCAGTGCGGCTCGCTCGACCAATCCGGTCGCCGTGCGCTTTAACCAATCGCGACGCGGGGCTACGAGTATGTAAATTGACTTGTACAGAACACCCCTCCCCTCTTGGTTCGGTCCTACGTAACGTAGTCCCGTAGGTAGGCGGGGCTTCGTACTTGTCTACTTGACTTGCGCAGCTTAGTTGTTGTTTGGTTCCCGGCCGGTTCGGTCGGGACTTCTGTTTCTCTTGGCCCTGTTGATGGAACCCCCTGGAAGGTGTCGCTGGGCCTCTTGTTGCAGCTCCCTCCCGGTCTACCCGGGTTGGTCGAGCTGCGACTTTCGCCGCTCCTGCCTGGTCTTTCCGGGCTGGTTGAGCTGGCCTGGCTGTTCCTTCCTGGTGAGACTTCGGGCTGGCTGTTGACTGGTGAGTATTGCTGGTTATTTCCTATTTGATCCCCTGTATCTTCCCTCCCCTCTTGGTTTGTGTTATCGGGGTCGTCTGTGTTTGGTTGCGTGTCGGTTGTGTTTTTTGTTCTTGATCTTATTTGATCGATGTGGCGTTTCCATGTTTGTCCGTCGGTTGTCTGTAGCCGGTAGGAGTGGGGTCCTGTCAGTTGGGTTATAGTTGCCGGTACCCATAGTGGGTCTCCGGTAAGGTTTTTTGCATAGACTGCGTCGCCTGGTGCAAAAACCCGGTGCTTGCTAGATGAGTCCGGGGGTTTTTCCGGGTTGTATGTGGGGTGTAGTCTGTCGAGTGGTGACCTTAGTTTTCTCCCCATTAGTAATTCTGCCGGGCTTTTGTTAGTCGTTGTGTTAGGGGTGATATGTTGTATTAGGAGCATTTTATTTATTTTTTCTTGTATGTCCCCGTGTTCGATCTTTTGGAGGGTTCTTTTTGTAAATTGAACCATCCGTTCTGCCCTACCATTGGCCGCCGGATGCGCCGTCGCTGTCAGTGCGTGTCGTATGCCTCGTTCCGCTAGGAATCTTTCGAATTCCAGCGAGGTGAACTGGGGTCCGTTGTCTGACACGATGACATCCGGGAGACCGTGGGTTGCGAAGAGTTTGTTTAAGACCTTGGTTACCGCATCTGTTGTGGTGGTCTTCATGTTGCTTACCTCCAGCCAGTTGGAGTAAGCATCCACCGTGATGAGGAATGTGTTCCCTTTTGTGGGCCCGGCAAAATCTATATGGAGTCTCGACCATGGTCCCCTGGGCGTTTCCCATTCTAAAATTGGTGCTGCGGGGGGATTTGGTCTGGTTTCTTGGCAGCGCGAGCACTTGGCTACCCAGGCCTCGATCTCCTTGTCCATACCTGGCCACCAAGCATAGCTTCTGGCTAAAGCTTTAGTCCTCACAATCCCCGGGTGCCCTTCGTGTAATAATTTTAATACCTTCCCTTGCAGTTTTTCCGGTATGACCACCCTGTCCCCCCATAACAAACAACCTTTCTGTAGTGACAGTTCTGTTTGCCGGTTTCGGAATGTCCTGAATGCATCATCGCTGTCTTTCTCTGGCCATCCCTTTGCTACCCAATGTAATACCCGCGCCAGACGCTTGTCTTTATTAGTCTCTCGGGCAATGTCTGACGCGGTTAAGGGTAGGTCCGGCAATGTCTCTATGCTGAGGGTGGTCGTCGTGGGAGCTGGATCGTCGTCTAGGTCGGGAAGCGGCGAGCGGCTCAACGCGTCTGCATGGGAGATCGTCTTACCGGGTCTGTGTGTGAGCCGGTAGTCGTAGGCGGCGAGGAACTCAGACCACCTTGTCATCCTGGGGGATAGGATGTTCGGGGTGGCCTTGTTCCCTGCCAGGATGCCCAGCAGCGGCTTGTGGTCCGTGATGAGGGTGAATCGGCGGCCGTAGAGGTACTCGTGGAACTTCTTTACTGCTGCGACGATGGCCAGTGCCTCCTTATCTAATTGGCTGTAGTTTCTTTCGGGTTTGCTGAGTGTTCTTGAAAAGAAAGCGATGGGTGCTTCTTTTCCGTCTGGGAGTGTATGGCTGAGGACAGCGCCGACGCCAAATGGTGAGGCGTCGCATGTGACGGCGATGGGTAGGGTCTCATTATACTGAATGAGAACGGCATCCGAGGTGAGCAGGTCTTTGGTATTCTTGAATGCGGTGTCCTCCCGTTTCCCCCAGGTCCATTTGGCCGTCCTGTCCAGGAGCCTATGCAAAGGCTCCGCCGTGGTCGCCTTTTGGGGCAAGAACACATTGTAAAAATTTAGCAGTCCCAGAAATGCCTGCAGCTCTGTTTTGTTCTTGGGTGTGGGGGCTTCCTTTATGGCTTTGACCTTGCTTCCGGTTGGGTGGATGCCATGTCGGTCTAGGAGGTACCCCAGAAACTCGACTTGCTCTGTGTATAGCTGGCATTTCTCTTTCTTCACCTTTAGCCCGGCCCCTTTGAATTTTTCTAGTACCTCCCTTAGGCGACCCTCTAGTTCCTCCTGGTTGGCTGCTGACACCAATACATCGTCAAAATAGGGAACCACCCCCTTGATTCCTCGCAGCAGTCTCTCCATGAGGCTCTGGAAAATTCCTGGGGCTACGCTGACTCCAAACTGGAGTCGGTTACAACGAAACGCTCCCCGGTGGGTGACTATTGTTTGCGCCTCGGCGGTTTCTTCATCGACCGGCAGTTGCTGATAGGCTTGCGCCAGGTCGAGCTTCGCAAAGACCTTGCCCCCCCCCCAGCGAGTGTAATAGGTGTTGCACTACTGGGACGGGGTAGGCGCTTTGTTGCAGGGCGCAATTGAGGGTGGCCTTATAGTCCCCGCAGATCCTTACTGACCCATCTGGTTTGACTGGGGTGACTATAGGGGTCTCCCACCGGGCGTGGTCGATTGGCTGCAAAACCCCCTGTTTGACGAGTTTGTCAATCTGCTCGTCTATTTTCTTCCGGAGTGCAAAAGGCACCCGTCTGGGTTTTAGGCGTATGGGGGCGACATTTGGGTCTAGGCTAAAAGAGATAGGGGGCCCTTTGTACTTGCCTAGGGTGCCGTCGAATACTTCTTGGAAGTCCCTCGCCAGCTGCTGCTCCCAGTCGGCCTCTGTGGTGTGGTTTACTCCCGTGACCTCGATCCCGAGTGGCGCGAACCATTGGAGTCCTAAGAGGCTGGGTCGGTTCCGGTCCACGATAGTCAGGGGAAGTTTCGCGGTGCGGTTTTTGAAAGTCACCTCGAACTGTCCGGTCCCAATGACGGGGATGCGGTTCCCCTGATAGTCCTTGATGATCAGCTTCTGGTTCTCCAGCCCTCTTTTCTGGATGTTTGGCACCAGGCGCTTGAGTTCTTTCCAGGCGACCATGGAGAGGTAGGATCCGGAGTCTACCTCCATCCGGCATGGCTCGCCCTCGATGCTCACCTCCACGTAGACCTTCCGGGCATCCGTGGTTTCGGCATGGCCGATGGTGACCGTCTGGTGGGTTTCTTCTCTCTGTCGGCCTTCCCTGCTCCGTCGTCCTCGGTTGTCTCGGTTCCAGCGATAGTCGGCTTGGCGATCTCTGGTTCTCGGGGGGGTGTCGTCTCGTCCCCGGTTGCTTGGTTCTCGCCGGCGGGGGCTGTGTGTCTTTTTGAGTCGGCAGACTCGGGCGATGTGGCCCTTCTTGTTGCAATGCCGGCAGATCGCGTCGATAAAACGGCACTCGGATCGAAGGTGATCTCCCCCGCACCCGGCGCACTGGTTCCCCGACTTACGACCCCGTTGATCTCGCCGGTCCCGTCCTGTTTGTAGTCGGTGGACGTCTTCCTCCTCGTCCGTGGTATCGGCGGCGGAGTCCAGGTCCCCGTGGTGTGTGGTGGTTTCTCGTCGGCTTGTCTCGGGGGTTTCAGTGTGGTCCCCGTTGTCTGCCCTCCGAAGTCTGGCTGCTGACTTCCGGGTGGCTTCGGCTGCGGAAGCTTCGGCCAGGGCGTCCCCGAGGTCGATGTTGCCTTTCGCCATCAGTCGACTTTTTAGTGCCTGATCCCTGAGGCCTAGGACCACGCGGTCTCGGAGGACATCGTCCAGGTCCCTGAACTCGCACATCCCCCCTAGGTCTCGCAAGGCGGCTATAAAGTCGCTAATGCTCTCGTCCTGCCGCTGGTTTCGCCGATAGAACTCATCCCGCCGGATGAGGATGGGCACAGCGGGGGCGTAGTGGTTCCGAAGGAGTGGCTCGAGATCGGCCCAGTCCATCGCCTTCAAGTCCTCGGGCTTCGCGAGGGCTTTGGCCATCTTAAACACTGCGGGCCCGCAGTGTGTGAGGAAGACGGCCCTTTTCTTCTGCCCGTTCGCATCCTTCAAATTGCTACTTTCGAGGAACATCAGGAATCTATCCGTGTACGATTCCCAGTCCTCGGTAGCGGGGTTGAAGGGTGCTGGTGGGGTCATGCTGGCCATCTCGTCGGTCCTTGTCTTCCTCGGGACACGTGCTCGGTGGTTATTCTCTGGATCCCATCCTCGTCGCCAGTGTCGTGTCCGTCGAGAAAGGAAGCTCGGAGTCAGTGACTTGGTTTCAGCTCTTTATTGGCTCCTGATACAGCTTAAGCTTGAAGGGGAAAACTGCGGCTTTTTATTCCCGAGCCGCGGCGGCCGCGGCCAATGACACCGCTTCGAATCTCCCGCGATTAGTTTCCACCAATCGCGGGGGATTCGCAACGGACCAATCAGTGCGGCTCGCTCGACCAATCCGGTCGCCGTGCGCTTTAACCAATCGCGACGCGGGGCTACGAGTATGTAAATTGACTTGTACAGAACAACTTTATTCTTCTGATGCATTTCAAACTTTCCATTCCACCTATCTAGCTTCTCTGGAAATTCACTAAATGATCAAGACATTGAGCAGATGGTGTTGTGTCTGTCCAGTCTCAGGAGCTTAAGATGTTTAAGGTGAGTCCAGATAGATTTCTGCCTAGAAACCCAATGTAGGTACACAGAGCTACCAATTCCTATTTTTAAAAAATCCTTAATATTATCAGATTCCATACTCTGTTCACCTTTTTATCTTTAAGTTAAAAAAAAGATTTGTCAAACTAAAACAAGGTACAGATAGTGCTTGACTTACAACATTTCATTTAGTGACTGTTCGAGGTTACAATGGCACTGAAAAAGGGATTTTATGACTGTTTTTCACCTTTGCAATATCCCAATGTTTCTGTGATCAAAATTCAGACACGTGGCAACTGGCATGTATTTATGAATTGTGATCACGGGATCACCTTCTGACAAAGTCAGTGGGGAAATGAGATTCCCTTAACAACCATGTTACTAAGTTAAAGTTGCAGTGATCGCTTAACAACTGTCCTAAGGAAGGTCATAAAATGGGGCAAATTCACTTAACAACTGTCTCTCTTAACAACAGAAATTTGAGACTCAATGTGGTTGTAAGTTGATTACCTGTACCTTTTTACCTACCCTTGTAATTTCAAGAAGAATTCTGGGTTCAACTACATTCTTAGAAAACTGAACTGAACTACTTTTTGTAGAAGTGTGTCTATCTGCCCAGAAAAAAAAAGGAATTTTGCGTGGAGGAAAGGAGGAGAACTGTACCAGGAGATATCCAGTTAAATTGGTACTTTCTACCTGGCTGTGGCAGCCATTTTGTGAATGGGTAAATTTCCCAGCAGCCATTTTGTGGGTTCGTCCACATTTCCTCAAAATTCTCAATCCTTCAGTCCAAACAAGCTCCAGTTTCATATTTTGTACAAAGCTTCCAGATAGTAACAGTGATGCAATTGTACCACATATTGAACAAATTAAAGATCTTCATTAGCACAAGAGGGTAGACTTAATTTTCTATGGCTTAGTGTAGGGGTCTTCAAACTTGGCAACTTTGCACACTTTGAGTCCCAGAACTCCCTAGCCAACCATATGTCTTAAAGTTTGGAGATCCCTGGCTTAGTCTATTATGGAAACTCAGACCACTTACTTCAATAGATTGGGTAAACTAAGAGAAATAGGTTGATTCATCAACTATCATGGGGTTGGACCAAGCATGGTTGCAAACCCAGCCAACATGTTGTTACTTCTATCCTCTTCTCCCAATTTTTTGCAGCATCAGAGATAATGTGTTTTCATCCAATGGTATTTGCTTGCTGGCCAATTCATTCAACCACTGCAGGAGAATCTCTAAAATGGACATCAGGTAAGCAATGAAAGCTTGGAATAAGACAAACGTAGGTGGATTGAAGCCTATTGTGATGGAGGAACCTATAATTTCATCTCCCATTTCTTGCCTCATGAAGATTTCTTGTTTAGGGATAGACATAGGTACCCTTTGAAAATTCTGCATTTAATTAGTTGAAGAGGAAAATAATTTTCCAAAGTCATTGTATGGGGAAAGTCTCCCCTAGTGGAGACTGACTCTGAGGGAGAGGAGGAACAGCTGACAGGGATTGGAAGTGTGGCTCCGGAGGTTGTGGGGAAGGGCAGAGGCTGGCTGAGCAGTCAGATGAGGACCCAGGCCCTCTCCATCCTAGGGCATGCAGGGAGGAGAGGATAAGGGAGAGACATGGTCTACTGGGGAGGAGAGGGCCTTGATCCTCTTCATGGTCTGCAGCTGTGACAACTGGATAAGAGGACGGACATGCTTGTGGGTGAATGCTGGAAACAAAGCATGGAATATCTCTAGTTTATGGTTCCTCTCTGAGTTTGGCATCCTTCCCAGTGTGTGTTATCTGTGGACATCCCCCTGCCCTTATCTTGCTTTTTTGTGTTGCTTTTTTCCCTTCTTCATGTAACTGTTTGTGTGGGAGTTTTTTGTCTTCTGTCAAGAATATTCGGAGCTTGGAAGCAAACTGAAGAAATAAAAGGGGCTTCACCTATTTTCTGTGATTGTGTTTGTTTGTATCCCACCCTGGGTCATCACACCCTTAGAGGAAGCAGTACAATCAGGATAACCAATTCTTAATATAAGTAGTCCTTGACTTATGACCACAATTGAGCCCAAAATTTATGTGGCTAGGTGAGACATTTGTTAAGTGAATTTAGCCCTATTTTATGACCTTTCTTGTCATAGTTGTTAAGTGAATCACTGCAGTCGTTAAGTTAGCCACAAGGTTGTTAAGTGAATCTGGCTTGCCCATTGCCTTTGGTTGTCAGAAGGTCACACAAGGGGATCACGTGACCCCAGGACCCTTCAACTGTCATAAACGTGAGACAGTTGCCAAACATCTGAATTTTGATCGCCTGATCATTACAGCGTCTCCATAACCAGCATGGGGATGCTGCAATTGTCATAAGGCCCTTTTTTCAATGCTGTTGTAACTTTGAACGGTCGTTAAATGAATGGTTATATGTTTCCTTGAGGTTTCATGGGAAGAAGAGAAGCCAGGGAGATGCAGACATCCAGAGAGAACTTTATGGAATAGAAATTGAATAAATGAATAAAATCCTGCAGGACAGACAATTCTGGGCTCCATTACAATCGTACATTGACTGCCTATACACAGAAACAGCATAGAAATTTACTACGTGTCATTGTCTTTAGCCATGGAACATATATCCAGTGTAAATTTCTGGAAAATCCATTGTAAAATCCAGTAGTAAATGACATAGAATCCAGTAAAATAAATTACATAGAATCCAATAGTAAATTACATAAATTACTCTTATCCTTTTCATCTTTCCTATTACCTTCTACTATTCATATCTTATGATTATGTTATTTTGTTGTTTGTATGTACACTGAGAGTTTATGCACCAGAGACAAATTGTACTGTACTGTACTGTACTGTATGTTGGTCAAAGAGAGAACCAAGCTCTCTTGCTTTTTGTAGGATGAACCACAGAATTCATCCTTTCATTTTTAAAGATGTTTTGACTTGAGAACGACTCATTCCAGTGGAGAAATGTGGTTTCTGAAAGTGAATGTATTCTTTTGTTATGGTTCTAGATCAAGGAAAAATGCTTTTTTGCATTTTGTGGAAAATGAAGCAAGCGAAGCACTCTTCTGCAGGTCTGTGATGTCCAATCCAACCTTTATGTTTTTATGACACATGCTTTCTTCAAGAGTACAGAAAAATCTTGCATGCTTTAAAAATCCAGGGAAGGTTTAGAATGGTTCAGGGGTCAGCAACCCTTTCATATATGTGAAATCATGGAAAATAAAGAACTCCAATAATTAAATGGTCAAACATAGCATGATGAGCCTTGATGGCGCAGTGGTTAGAGTGCTGTACTGCAGGCTACTTCTGCTGACTACCTGTAATTTGGCAGTTCGATTCTCACCAGGCTCAAGGTTGACTCAGCCTTCCATCCTTCCGAGGTGGGTAAAATGAGGAGCGAGATTGTTGGGGGCAACAGGCTGACTCTGTAAACCCCTTAAGAGAGGCCTGTAAAGCACTGTGAAGTGGTATATAAGTCTAAGCGTTATTGCCATTTTCCTTCCTTCCTTCCTTCCTTCCTTCCTTCCTTCCTTCCTTCCTTCCTTCCTTCCTTCCTTCCTTCCTTCCTTCCTGTTAAAATGCAATATTGCAGTCTGACTCTGCCCACACCCAGGAGTTTGATTCTCACTGGCTCAAGATTGACTTTGCCCTCCATCCTTCCAAGATGGGTAAAATGAGGACCCAGATTGTTGTGGGCAAGAGGCTGACTCTGTAAACCACTTAGAGAGGGCTGGAAAGCACTGTGAAGCAGTATATAAGTCTAAGGGCTATTGCTATTTCAAAAAGCCATTTTGAAGCTCAGGTTAGTATGATTAGCTATCCTTCCTTCCTTCTTTCCTCCCTCCCTCCCTCTGTTCCTTCCTGTTTTACTTTTGCAAGAGCGCACAACTTGAACTCTCAGCGCTGAATGGCTTTTCTTTGGTGCCTTTGGAGAGCCCTTCCAAAATTGTTGCAGAAACACAACATGAAAAATATATTTAGTATGTGGCAATTAATTAATTAATTGTACTTAACAAATTTGGTTGTACTTAATTAATTGGTTGTACATCACCCAGAGTCAACCCTAGATGAGATGGGCAGCACATTAATTTAATAAATAAGCAAAATAATTGTATTCCATTTTAATGTGTGTTTTGTTCAAATTAATCACTTAGCTTTGATCTCAGTTCCCAGAACATTAGAAGTCAGGCAAGAGACAAAGGCAAAACAAAGTCCACTACATTTTATAGCAATCCATGGTTTGCTGAAAAATGTTCAATAGTTCAATGTTCCCTTTTTTCCTGGGTTCATTAGCCAGTTTTCAGACAAATGCATCATTATAATATTGTTTTCTACAGTTAAAAGAGGACTTGCTTCTAGCTTTCACTTTGAACTGTCTTCATACAGGTTCACCCACTGTGGCATTGACCAGCCTGATCTCAGAGCACTGTGTGCTGTGTTTGAAAACTGTGACCATCTTGCAGAATTGGAGTAAGAGAGGAATATTATTACAGTTGGGTCTCCCCAGTTTCGCAAAGTTCTGTACTAAATTTGTGGGCATGGGACCTGGAGAAATGCTGGGAATTGAACTCCATATTTCTTAAGGTTGCCAAGGTTGAGAGACTGTGATGACCCGGGGTGTGGCACAAAGGCAACACAGCCAGAGAATAAGTATTACTCTCTGGTCTGGAGACAAACTCTTCCATGAACCCGCAACAGCCTTTGGCTGCAGATATTCCAGTCTAAACGTTGAAAACAGAAAACTTTAAACTATAAATCCAACAAGGCAAGATAAGGTAACAAATCCAGCAGGGCAAGATAAGGAATTCCAGAAGTGAAGTAACATGGCAATAAATCAAATCGGTTAGGAGATTGCCAGGAATTCAGATAACAGCCACCAACACTAGATAAACTCCGTGTTTGTTCTCGACAATCGCCCCTCCCATCTGCCTCTCCTATAAACTCCCCCCCCAGGTGTGCCTAATGAAGGGAATCAGGGCCCTTTTCTCCCCCTTAAGCCACGCAACCCACATTGCTCTCTTCTCCGTTCTTCCCTCTGTGCCCTAGGATGAAGAGGGGGTGGGCCTTGGCCTTCCTCTGAACCTCCTCCCCCTTGTTCTACCTTTCCCCTGCTCTGCCCAGCCTGACTGCCCTTCCCCAGTTTCCTCCACAGCCAACAGAGCCACACTCCCACTCCCTGTCAGTTGTTCGTCTTCCTCGTCAGAGTCAGACTCTGACCGGGGAGGGGGGGGGCATGACAGAGACACTGATGGAGAGATGGAGATGCTAAACTGGGACTAAGGTGACTCAGATTTCCACTAAGCACCAAGTTAGCCATCTCTCCCTCAACTCTACAACAGGGCTGTTCTTGTCAGTTTAAAATAAGGGAGGAGACCAAAAGTGCTGCCTTGCACTCTCAGAGTGGAGAGGGGATATCAGTGGATTTGTTGATTGTAAACCTAAACTAATGGATTGTCACAGTTCTGAGCAGGTTATAAATTAATTCAAATAGGTGATGGATGAAACAGAAAATGAATCAAGCCAGCCTGAGAAGCAATGGAGAAGGCAAAAGAAAACTCAATCACCACAATAGCTACCGCTATTCCTCGACTTGTGACCAGAATTGAGTTTAAAATTTATGTTAAGTGAGACATTTGTTAAGTGAGTTTTGCCCCATTTTGCTACCTTTCTTGCCCCAGTTGTTAAGGGAATGAGTGGAGTTGTTAAGTTAGTAACACAGTTGAGTGGATCTGGCTTTCCCACTGACTGTCAACTCACGAAGCATCCCTGACCTGCTCTCGAGTTGCCATCTCGAATGGGATGGGGAATCAAGCCTCACAGCTGCATCGAGGAACTTGCATTTCAGCCAAAATAAAGCACATTCCAGCTGGCAATGTCAATGGCCGGAGGGAGGGACTTCTACAACCTGTGAAATTGCTTTGTTGGGGAATGTGACTGATGACACACCTTAGGGGGAGGGGAAACAGGGTCAGAGGCAAGACTCGAATTAAGTGAGGTCAGAGTTGGCTTCACTTGGTCCGTGCCAACATGAAGCTCCTAATAAATAACTGGATTTCTTTTGAAGCTGGGCCTGAGGCTCATGATTTAATTAGGGCATCAGTCGGAACCCTGACAGCGATTTTGCTTGAAGATCGCCAAAAGGGATCACATGACCCTGTGACACTGCAACCATCGTAAATATGAGCCAGTTGCCAAGCATTCGAATTTTGATCACCTGATTGTGTGGATGTTGCAATGGTTGTTAATGTGAAAAATGATCACAAGTCACTTTTTTTACTGTTGTTACAACTTCAAACCGTTGTTAAACAAATGGTTCTAAGTCCAGGACTGTCTGTACTTCCATTTTGTTGCAAAAAAACTAATCATGGACATGTCTCTCAGTCATCTGTAAATTTAATCATTAAAAATACTGCTATGAAGTCATCAAGAATGGAGTCCAACTTTTCCATTGAGAACAACTTCACAGTTGGTTAAGCTTTTTTTTAAAAGAAACAATTCCTGAACTAATAGGGACATTTTAAATATAACTATCCTGGAAACTTACATTTTTTTAAAATTCCTTTGTCAGTCTGTCTGGGAATGATCTTGACAACGAAGGATTAAGGTGGATTTTCGAACATTTGCCCAAGATCCAGAATTCCTGCTCATTGAAGTAAGTGGATTCAGTGTGAGAGGCAGAGGGGAAGTTATGGGATTCTAGGGGAAAGTGACACCCCCATTGCAACTTTATCTGTTGAACCTCGACCTGCTGTCTCTCTACCATCATCTCCACTCGCAGAAATCCTTCCCAGAGAATGAGTGGTTATATTAGGAACATGCAAAATTTGCATCGTATTCTTAGAACCGATTGATGCCCGGTTTATTTTGTGTGTGTTTTAATTGGTTGAGATCTATAATTTTAAAAATGATTTTATGTGTCTTCTGATTTTTGTTCGGAAGACACCAAGAGTTGGCAGAAAGCTATAGAAATGTTTTAAATATATAAAATATTTTTTACTGTACTCCCAAAGGTGCTTTTTCCAAAAGGCAACTGGACTTTCTTGTTTTTTGCTTGAAAAAATTTCAGTTCTAATCCAAGAAGCTTCAGTTCTGAACCAAAGAAGCTTCTTGGATGAGAAATGAAACATTTTCGAAGAAAAAACTCCAGAAAGTCCAATTGCCTTTTGAAAAAAAAGCACCTTTGGGACAACTGTGACCTGGATGGTTGAGAATCTCCATAGACTCTTATTCTTATCCAGGTTATATTGGTGGTTAAATCTCCCTCACCAGTTCTGTATTGTCATTGCTTAATGGTGGGACTCATTTTAGCAGTTCCTAGATTCACATGGTCCGTTGAACTATAATAGCTCCAAATGCTCATTATTTGCTCATGGTCAATGATCAACTAAGTAGCTGTAACATATAACAGCAAGCACAAATGTAATAAGAGCCATAAAACTACCATATAAACTTGTCAATTAAAATGTTGAACCCTAGAATCGTAGGGCTGGAAGGGACCTTGGAGGTCTTCTAGTCCAACCCCCTGCTCAAGCAGGAATCCTCATACTATCCTGGACAAATGAGGCTGTCCGGTTTCTTCTTAAAACCTCCAGTGATGGAGCACCCACAACTTCTGAAGGCAAGCCATTCCACTAATTAATTATTCTTGCCATCAGGAGATTTCTTCTTAATTTCTGGTTGGATTTCTCTTTCATGAGCTTCCACTTGCTGCTTCTTCATCTTCCTTCAGGTGTTTTGGAGAATAGTCATGCTAAAGATAACTTTAGCCTCCTCTTAATATGCAATAGAACTGACCTAGATATTGAGGTTCAAATGAAACTGGGAAGTTATTAGTAGTTATTATTGGGGGTTTTTAGATAAGAAATTTGAATAAAAGAGACCATTATCATTAATTGCTTTGGAAGAAAATGACAAACATTTGTTTTATTTTCAAAAGGAAAATAATCTATTAATTTCAATTCTAGTATAGACTCAAGCATAACAGAATCTAGGAAGATGGACTACTTCACTTTAGCAACATCTTAAACACATAGGAAAAAAATTACAGATAGTTTTTAATAAAACCATGTAACATATGTCGAACCTTTATTAAAAGAAAGTGAAGTAATCTGTCAATTGCTATTTCTTTCATAGAATCAACCACAATGGAACCTCACCAGATGGACTTCTCCTGCTTGTTAATTTCCTTGCCACAAAGGATGATGTGGTTGAAGTTCAAGCAAGGTGTAACCATAAATTTGTACTAATTTATTTTCTTTTGGTTTTATTGTGGATGTAGAAATGGGGTTTTCAGGGAAGAAAGGCAAGCTGGCTGGATGTTCAAAAGGATTTGAAGTAAGCTGAGAAAAAGGAATTAGAAGTTAACTTGCTCTATTTTAGAAGGCATCAAAAGGAGAATGGACAGGAAAAAGTAAGGGAAATAGATTAGTAGTTTGGTTGAGAATTCAGTCCAGGTTCTCAGTCTTTGGATTACTTGAGTCGATTCAGAATATCAGTTCAATTCTATGTTTCAGTTTGAAGCAAAAAAAAAAAAGGGGGGGGGGGGTGAGATGGGCAGCATGTAAATTTAATAAATATTTCTCCAAGTATCACTTTTGAAGCATGGAACTTGATAAAGTGTCCATCAGATTCTACCCATTAATTTGATTTGGATATGTAATTGGATCATGTTCAAAGGGCCTTTCCTAATTAAAACTGTTGAAGCAAAAGTAGGATGAATATAAACTGGGATTTGAAGAGTGTGATAAAATTTTAAAAAAGTAAAGATGGTGATTACAATTCTGCAGTTAAAGCTCTGTTCCTTTTTAATGTAGATCATGTATGGGAAAATATCCAACCTTGGCAACTTTAAGACGTATGGATTTCAACCAGGGGTGGGATACGATGGGTTAACTACCGGTTCGGGATTTACGAGCTTCCCTGAACGCTGCGAGCCGCGCGCCTGTAAATTGTCATCAGCATGCTTTGTGCAGAGAAGCAGCCTTTGAAACAGCCCTTTTTTCCTGCTTTTTTAACTGCAGCTGTGCCTCGTTCGGCAGCTGAAGTTGAAAAATCAGGAAATAAAGATCAGGTAAGAGCCCAGGTGGGCGGGTGGGCAAAAACATCAGCAGACATAGAACCGGTTCTATGTCTGCTGCTCTTCAGAGCTACCGGTTCTACAGAGGTGGACAGAACCGGTAGAAACCCACCCCTGATTTCAACTCCTAGAAGTCTCCAGCCAGCCAGTTCACAGGTCTTAAACTTGCCAAAGTTGGACATACATTTAATGGTGTGGTTGTGGCTGCCATTTTGAAGTTTTTGAGCCTCTTTATGAAGATCCCTGAAAGAAAGATTACAGAGAGGGTCAGAATCCAACTTAGTTCCACCTATATATCTTGTGAAGCATTCAAGTAAGAACAAAATCGCTTTTTGCTTCCTGATATTCTGAATTTTTGCAGCGTCTGTTACATTTGTTAGAAGGTGGAATAGAGAACCATACAATGGCTTTCATTTGCATTCTTTAAGTTCTGGCCATATTTATCTTAAAAAAAAAACCTGGGGATCTTGGAATAGAGAATAGTTTTAAGGTTTGAACAGAATGAACAGACATTTCAAGAGATGTTTGCCCTGTCTGTACTTTTTTCTCAAATTGTCTATTTTTTCTTTCTTTGCCAGTTTGTGCTCTGAAAAAATGCTGCTTATCACACTCAGGAAACAAGATAAACCTCAAAAGATCCTGAGGTAAGTGAAATATTACTCAAATTCTCCTTTTAGCCATTTAGAGTATTTTGTAAATTATTTCTGGAGTCTGTCAATGCTCAAATCCTGTGCTATGAGAACTGCTATGTTTTACCCTGAAGTCACCTTATTCATCCATATTTGAAAGGCATTTATACATCATTCCTGATGGAATATTTTTAATGTCCCCTACAATACACTTTTATTGCCAGTTTTCCCTATTTTTAATATCCTTCACAATGTAAATGAACTTTAGTGCAAGGTGTTGTGTGTGTTTGTGTGTTTGTTTCAGCTATCCATCTGGGATATGATTTTCAAAGTGATGATGGTTGAATTCACACAATTTGCAAAACATGGTTACTTAATTGGGCTCCTAGTTGCAAGCTCTACTCCCTCCCTTAGCATGGAAAAGAGGAGGAAAAGGAAGGTGTGTTGAATACGTTTGCTGCCTTGAATGGTTTGTTAACTAATAAAAGGGGGGGATATATACAGCTAGTCCTCAACTTACAACAGTTTGTTTAGTGACCGTTCGAAATTAAAACAGCACTGGAAAAAGCGTCTTAGGTCCATTTTTCACACATGATCATTGCAGCATCTCCATGGTCATTCAGATGCTTGAAAACTGGTTCGTATTTTTGAAAACTGGTTGCAGTGTCCCGAGGTCACGTTGATTCCCTTTTGTGACCTTCTGACAAGCGGTGGGGAAGCCAGATTCACTTAACAACCATGTTACTCACTTAACAACTACAATGATTCACTTAACAAATATGACAATTAAAGTCATAAAATGGGGGGAAACTCACTTAAATTTCTCACAACAACATAAATTTTGGGCTCAGTTATGGTCGTAAGTCAAGGACTACCTGCACACACACACACACACACACACACACACGCGCGCACACACACACACACACGTTCTCTCTCTTTCTACATTACGTACATACATACTTATTTAAGAGGCATTAGTAATAGGAATTTATCTCTTTGCTGGGGACTTAGTAAATTAATAGCAAACCATGTTCCTCACCAGGATGGCCCATCTAATCTTGGGAAGACCACAGCAAAAAGTTTAACTTTTAGATTTATCTTTTTTTCCCGTCCTTCATGATGGGAGGGAAGGAGGGAGAATGAAGAGGTAACTAAGCATTTATTCAGAATCCAACCAATTCAGCCAAGGATAGAAAATGGGTAGCCAAACTCTGTGGTTTCTTGAGCTATGCACAAGAAGTCACCTGAGTTGATTTTCTATTCCTACCCCCTCTAGTCTAAAGGAATGCAACCTCCAAGCAGAACATCTGTCACAGCTGTTGAGTGGGCTGAAAGAATGCACTGTCCTGAGCAATTTCATGTGAGTTCATGCACTATTTCATAACATTCTCCTGTCTGATGGTTTAGTTAGGAGCTATCCAACCAGATTTTTTCACTAGCTTATTGTATTTGTTCCTAGATCAATAAACAATGGCCTGACACTTAGAAGTGCCAAAACTCTTCTTAAGTCTCTAAGGAGATTGACCGGTGTGCAAAAAATATGGTAAGTAGATATATAATTAGGGAATCAGAAAGTGCAAAGAAATTCTGCTTTGTTCTTTGTCTTATTATTACTTCCAGCTCTGTGGAACTTTCAGAAGAGAATATTGCAGTTCAAGATTGAATTATGGAGTTTTTGGTATTTGAGCTAGATTGGTGGTTTTCAGATATTTCATTACCCAATTAGGTGCTAACATTACACTGATGATATCTAGAGTTCACCTCTGTATGAAGAGGTGCGGTGACTCAGTGACTTAATGATGCTGGAGATGGTCTTGGCTCCAGTAGTTTGAGCAATAACTGTGTTTGGCAGGGTGAGCTCCCATCACTTGCCTCAGCTTCTGTTCTGTCCTCCTAAAAGTTCAAAAGCAGGTTCTATGCAAGTAGATAGATAGGCACCACTTTGATGGGGAGAGGAGTTGGTGCTCTGTGCAGGCAGGCAAATTCCTGGTGGCTCTGAACCTTTCCGGTTGCGGCACCCATTTGCGAGGCAGCTAGGGGTCGTGGGTGATGCTGTAGGAAAAGCTGTTTGTCTTTCTGGTGCAAAACCAGCTTGTTCTCCTGTGGCACACCTTGGGAAATGTGCAAGTGTGTCCTATAACAGGGCTGGTATCTTGGCAAGCCAAACTATTACTCTGCATTACCATTATGGTCTCCTGGCTACTACTACTACTAACAGTATCTCCATGGTCTAGAGAATGTGGTCTAGAGTTCTTTTAGGATGAAGGGGAAAACCACGAGGAACCTTCTGCAAGGAAACACACTTCTCTCAGCACTTCTGCTTTGTCTTCTAGCATAAAAGAACCATGGGTGACAGATGAGAGCTTTCCCACCTTCCTGAGTCTGGCTGCTGAAGTCCAGGGAGAAGTGATCACCATCATGTAATTAAATCCTCCATCTCTATTGTTGACTGATTGCTTTCTGTAGGGTAGGGTCCTATTCAAGACCTGTGTTGTATTGCAGTTGGGGATATAATGGCTTTTGAGTAGACTGGATCCCTTCCTTCCTTCCTTCCTTCCTTCCTTCCTTCCTTCCTTCCTTCCTTCCTTCCTTCCTTCCTTCCTTCCTTCCTTCCTTCCTTCCTTCCTTCC